AAATACTAATTTTAACAAAAAAAAATGAAGTTCATAAACCATTACCACAAAACACAAAGTAAACTATCCACATCCACTACCCCTCTCTTATTTAATTCAACAAGAGACGGGATTCTTTGTTGCATCACCCTCACACAAAGAATTCAACTTTAAGTGGGACTAGGTTCGTCCAAACCATTTTCCAAAACCGATCCTTCATTTCATCGTCACTAACCACGTTGATACATAAACTTTTCGGGGAGTAAGAACCATTTGAAGAACCAACCCATTGACGGCTGTCCATTGAGGCAAAATGGACACTTTAGACATGAAATCATTCCATACTCCAACTTCCAGGTCAAATAAAATCCTTCCTAGTTCTATTTTCCATACCCAAACGTTATTTATCCAAAGCCCAAAGTCTCACTTTTCCAGATTTTTTAATGGCAAGATTGAAAAATATGAGGAAACGAAAGTTTAAGAGATGGGACATCAGTCCAAAATCCTCCTTAAAGTTCATTTTTTTCCCGTCTCCCACGATACATCTCAAATTGGTGTAGAAAGGGTTTTCGTTCTGACTCAACGAAGATGAGATACTTCTCCAAATCCAGGACAGTTTCCTCTTTGAATCTGATTTTGGCAACAATGCGGGCTGTTCGAATCCATATTTGACTTCTATTACTTTCTTCCAAAGACGTTCTTCTGAGTTTCCGAAGCGCCATGACCATTTGTTGAGTAACGCTCTATTTTAACGACTCTCAATCATTTGACAATGAATGCTTACATACCCTGATAATCGTTAGTGCTCGAATTCGGGTCCTCTAACAATCATCTCTTTAACCACTTAGGTTGCTTGGTTCATGCATATATTTTTTATTTAGCATTGAATAATTTTATTTTTTTAAATTTTATTAAAGTTTGAAACACAAAAAACTTAACACTATTTGTAATATAACATTATAGTATTGTATATTCTATATTCATATGATATAAATTTATAAATATGAAAACAAAAAACAATATGCTATAAAATTAAAAATGACAAGCTTGGACCCAAGCCCATTACAATATTTTCGGATCCTTTCAAATTTGAATGAAACCTGTACAAATCTAAAGAAAACTATTATTACCGTATTTAAAGCAGTTTATTTTCCAATAATTTAGGCCAATAGGAATATCACATTTGAATAAAAAAATTGTCATGAATTCTTAAGTGGCAGATTAATTTTCACGACCGAACAGAAATGGTTAGTGTTGTGTTGTGCAAAACAAGAAAAGAGGTTCATGGTGCAAAGTGCAAACTCAGGTCAGGGATTCATTCGTCAGATATTTCATATAAAGAAATAGAGCAAAACATGGCTATCATGTTTAGTGAAGAATCCAAAATCCAAAACGTAGCCGACCTGTAAAGGAAACCCAGACAAATTAGTTAGGTTAGATTGTGTCTCGATTAGTGAAAGAAACGTCCTTTTATCATATCTTTATTACAAAGAAAAAATAAAGCAGCAAAGTTCATTCATAAAATACGTTAATATGGATACAAAGTATGGCTGCTTTCATCGAAAAGAGAAACCTAAATTTCTGCCTGAAAATTGCAAGATGAGATGGCTTTTGTTTTCCTAACGTACCAAGATCATCAGCAATGATGGTGCATGCTTTGATGATTACGAAGCAAATTATAATTAGCTCTATCAAATGAGGGTCCTCCACCTAATGTTCTTTTAGCAAATTAGGTGTAACAGAAGCAAATCCAACTCTCTATTTGCATCAAATTTTGAAAAATTCTTTACAAAAACCTCATTCTTTTTTCCTATATAAAGCGAAGATTTGGGAATCCCAGCCATTTTATATTTTATCATACTAATATACCACTTTCTGATATGATGTTCATTGTTCCTTTTTTTACCTGCAATTTCTGCTTCATTGATCATCAATGTCCAGACACTGTACTTCTGGCTGCAATCTTGAATCGAGAATTCGATGTTGGCACGGTTCAGTCAAATCAAATCTCTCAAAAATGGTTGAGTCGTTTAATCTGATTGAGTCGTGCCAATATCGCATTTTGTTATACTTGTTTTTCAGTATAAAGCACCCCATGATTTCCATTTTTCTTTCTTTTTGTATTCATATTATACCAAAACAGATCCATGCCAATGATTCTTATATCATTCTTTATTGCTGTAATTTTGGCTCATCTTTCAGAAAGCAAAAGGAGGATTCTGATGCCAAAGAAGACTTTTCAGTATCTCGACTGCTCTGGTTCTAGGGACCTTTTATTTTATTTATAATTTTTGGGACGAGCAACATGGCCTGAGAATTTGAGAACAGCACTAATCTTATGGAGTCCCAATCTTACATTATATGAAGCTTATTGGTTCTCCACCTAATTGTCTTCCCTAAGCATCTTTAACTATCAACTTCATTCCTTAAAACCACTGTTGAACAATGCGTTTGTAAAAACTTTATTTTGTTCTGCTTATTGTATTGGCAAGAGCCACAAATTACCATTGAGTTTGTCTTCAACAAATTTCTCTAAACTCTTTGAGCTAGTTGAAGTTAATTTGTATGGACCAACATTTGTGTCATCATCCGGACACTAGAGAAATGTTGATACAAGGAGTGAAAAAGAAAACAAATGCATGTGATGAGGAGAAACAGATCAAATTATCTCATTTTTCATGATAAATGTGTATTTTTTATACTGCTTGGTGTCAAGCATAATCTGGTCTATCTTGGACTTTGAAGAAGGCACTGTTTTGATTGAACTCAACATTGCTACAAGCTGATAAAATTACAAAATTTTCTTTCACAAGGCAGAGCATATGACCATCAATTATAATGTCATTAAATTTTACTGTTCAAGCCTATTCTCTAATCAATTTTCATCAATACCACTGCTAATGCTAGTCATGTATATTTTATCGAATAAAAAGATAATTTTCCAAAACTTCATACTAAAATTGGACAGGGGCCGCGCGGACGCAAGCCCCCACTGCCACAAATTATAACGTAGGCTCTCCTACTTTGAGGAGACCTTAGGCAAGAGCCCTTCCTAGGTGCAATGGAAGTCTCTTACCTAGGACATGAGCCTTATTGATCACCCATTGACCCCGTCCAGGTAAGTATGTTGTAATGGGGCCAGCTGCTTCTTATTTATACAACCACTCTTGCGCTCCTTCCATTAATGTTTCTTCAATGTGGGATTAGTGCTTCGCATGAAGCACCATTAAATCATCCGAGGAGATCACGGGTCTTACAATTTACAAGTAAAATTGGAAAAGTGCAAAAACTCCCAATAGATAATACTAGTTGATTTCTCTGTTGGTCATGGAAGTAAAAGCTTGAACAGAAGAATTTAACAACCTCATTGATGGTCATGGCGTCTGTCTATTCAAGAAGAAGAAAATTAGGAAATTCTCTCGTGGAAGGACCTTTTTATCATCTAGAAGCAATGTTGACTGTTGTTGAGTTCCAATCAAAACGGTGTCTTCTTCAAAGCAGTATAAAAAAATACACATCTGTCATGAAAAATGAGACAAACTGATCCTTTCCATGACATGCATTTGTTTTCTTTGAGCAACTTCATGTTCATGGATGCACGTTGTTGAAGTATAATTCAATCTTCATTACCCAGAATTTATAGATGTCAAGAGGATGAAATCAACTTTTTCCAAGACTGAGGAGCAGGGAAATGAGGGTGATTTGTTCTCTTTGCTCTTTAAGGTGGCTGGATAAAAGCACAAATGCTGAATTTTTTATTATTATGATCGCTACTTCTTGGCCTACACATTCACTTCACCATCTCATCAAGTTCTTAAAGCAATTTAAACAGGTTTTGCTACAGATTAGACTTAGAGGCCCAACCCTCCACTTTCTTTTCACTATTATGTTACTATATGCCTCCATTTTACAACCTGTATCTGTCTTCTTTCAAATCAATTTAAGAGTAGACAAGATCATAGTAGCACCTTTGAGAGCAGCCTTCGTATGCCATTATTTTGCAAGGAAAATACTGCAACGTCAGGTATCTTTTATGAGATAAAACTGTGGGATTTAAGGTAAAAATCTTTATATTCTTAAAGTTTTAAATGATTTCAAAAAACTTTAGGTGATAGCATTTTAAAGTTTTGAGAAATTTATATTATATTCTTAAAATATTTTTAAGAATTTTAATTAGTTTCTTTTTAAAAATCTCATGAAATATTAATAATTCTTAATATTTTTATTAATACAATTTAATATTGAAAAAAAAATATTAAGCCTCCCAAAATATTTTGAAAAATATTAATTTGATCCTCACATTTTTTAAAATTCACATTCAGTCCCTCAAATTTGTTAAACTTTTTCATTTGACCTCTAAAATTTTTTATTAAACCCCCAAAGCCACCAAGATTCCACCGAATAAGACTAGGGATGGCAACTGGCCGAGTTTTTGGTTAACCAGACCCAACCCAAAAAATATATATTCTTTATTCGGTTCCGAACTGACACGAATTTTTAGAGTATAAATCTGACCCGACTTTAATTGATCCGGTATAAAATAAGAATTTAATTAAAATTATAATTTTCTAAAAAAATTAAATTATCATCTCTGGTTAGGGTCGGGGGTTTTTACCCTCCACCCGAACCGACCCGAGCTCACCCTCTTTAAAAAATCCGACCCAACCCGAACCTGAATTTTTTAAAAATATATATATATATATATATGATCCTATCAGATTGGGTCAGGTCAAAAACCATCAAATTTGAGTTAAATTGTCATCCCTAAATAAGACATTTGATTTAGAAAAAAATCTTAATTAATCACATTTTATAATCTTTAACTTGTTTATAATTAAGCTATGAATCTTGGTTTTCTAGAAAAAGCAATGGACCCTCAATTATTAAAATGCTGAAAGCCCAATAAAATAATAAAGGGGCCAAGACTCAAACCTAATTTAAAGGGTCCAGCTTAATCCAGCCCCTAACAGCAATTACAAAAAAAAAAAAGAAATCCCCAATTATAAAACCTTGCAATTGAATTCATCACTAAAATTCTACCATTTTTTTAGGGTTAGAAAATGGCATTGACAAACTTCATATTAACCGTGGCAGGCGTTAGCGCAGTGGTTCTTCTATTGCGAAGCGACGTTAAACAATCGGCTGCTATCTTTAGACGCAACGTTAAACATATAAGGAATTGGCTTGAAGAAGAATCTTCTGCTGCTTCCAAGTAACCATTTTCTTTATTTTCTATGCTTTACTTATTTGTGTTGGCTTTTAGTTAATTTGTTTCAACTTCTTTAGTACTCAGAGTAGTTTTTTTAGGGTTTAATCTGAACTGTGTTGGATATTGTATGATAAAAAGAAAGAAGCTTTTCATTCAAAGTTTTATGGCTGTCTGGTGTTATTGGATACTAAGCTTTGTGATATTCTGGAATGAGAACCCGGAAAGGAAACAGAAAGAGTAAGCTCCCAAGAGTGAGTCAAATTGAAGGGTTTTTATTAGGAAGAATTATCCTTGATTTTGCAAGGAAAATATTAAGATGTAACAACTGATCTGGTATTTGAATTTGGAACTGCAGTTTTGTCTTATGTGTGTTGCTGAGGATATAACATGAGAAAGAAACAGTTAGTATTGGAATCATATTGCCAGATGGGCTAAGGGATCTTTTGGAATTCATTGTATCTTTAGAATCTACTTCATATTAGTCTGGTTTTTCTTCACTTAGCTTTTATTCTGATTATGTTTTTGAAGCTAAGCTGTACTGGACATATGACAACCAAATTTAATGGGACTTCAATTTTTTTTTAAAAATAAATTTTGTAAAATTTCTTTCATAAGGCCAGTAGGGGTGTTTTCTGTTTTGATCTCATATCTATCTAATAGTTTTGAGATAATATGCGTGGCATATACAATGGCTGGCACTCTATAATGATTTTGGTTTAAACGCAATCACAACTTCATCCCAGCTCCCACTTGTTCTTCTCTCTTCCTTTAATTTTATCATGTCTGATGTTTGTAATAGTGATTGTTTGTAATAGTGATTGTTTGTGCACGAGGATGGAACTGGAAACATGTAGCTAAAACTTACTGGCACTTACCTGTTACCTTTTCATGATTAAATTCTTCGAGAAAGCTTGTAAAATGTAGTTGTTTCATGAAACATGTGTACCTGCATGTTTGTAAGAGCAATACTCATTACCATTAATTCTGGTTCTGTGCTGAAGGTTGTTGAACAATGTGATTGCCTATGAATCACCTATCCTGGGAACTTATTTCTCTCTCAATCATGCTTCTCACTCTTCATTTTTTTTGTTTATTCCGCCTTGTCTGTTCTGGTTCTTTTCTTTACACAAGTCTTAGTTCTCACATTGATCATCTTCTTTCAGGGCGGTGGAGAAGGCAAAGCCCAAGGAATTGGAGTCCAAGGTTCCCCTAAGGAAAAGGACTAGGTTCTTTGTGGGGAGTTTGGGTTTATTTATGATAATATGCAGTTATTTTGAATATCTAGGATTTTTATTTAGAATAAATCTTGATTAATGTCTGGGTTTGTATACACTTCAAAACTGCTTAATTTTGTTGTTGAACATTTTTCGGTTTTGTTAATATACAGAGTTGTTTACCTAAGAGTTAATACTTGTTAGAAATGCCAGTCCTATTTTGATCAAGTAGTTCAACTAAAGAAATGGTGTACAAAGAGTAGAAATATTAGATCTCAAATTGTCATCATTCAGTTGAGGTGCATTTTTATAGGGTTTTAATGGAGTTTGAACAGTTTAGAAGCTCAAACTCGATTTGAAATTCATTGTTTGAAACCTGATTGAATAGTATAATAGAACTTTAAGCTTTGCTTGAAGTGAAATTGAACTATTTGAGCTTGGCTTGATTAAGTCTATATGTATATTATACAATTGTTTAAATAGCAAAATTTACAGTTTAGAGCTTACTTTTACGGGTATATATAAGGGTAAAGCAGTAATTTAATTTTATAAATACCTAGTAAATACTTGAATTTGGTTTGACATTTAGTTCAAGCATGAGTTCTGCTCAACAAAATTTCAACTTTATATAGTTGAATTTAAATAATTTGTGGTTGCATATATCTCAGTTAAACCTTGACAACGTTTCCATCGATGAGTTCCAAGTACTCTGAAATTAACTGTTTATGGTCATTGGCGGAACTCCTTGCATTTTGGGAAATTATCATTTAGAAACTTTAAAATTTTCATTTAGCCCCCTTAAATATTTGAAATTTTCTAATTATTTAGTTTTTTATCTAAATAATTAATATTTATATATTATATTTGGTATAGCTATTGACATGTGACTTATTGGTCGACTAATTTTGATAAGATACTGTGGATGTCGACTATGGGGCCACTCTTCCAACATTGTTTGCTTCACCCACAATTTTAGGATTCAAACTGTGATATCCGGCTTTCGGGTGAAAAGTCAATTATCGACGATGGTTGGAAAATGATTTGTAAAAGTTTGAGGAGTCGTCACCAATCATTTTAAGGTGTGATTGGAACACCTAAAATAGGTAATTTTAATAAAATATTTTTATTTTATCAAAACTACCCAGTTTTGGTCTACAAAATCAGAAATCAAATTGGGGAGTACGGTTAAGTGTGGGGGAACGATTACCACCCACACAGCGCCCAAAATTGGTACCTAATCGATTACCTTATATTTTAAAATTGGAATTTTTTGAGATCAAAAGGTTATTTAATTTAAAATTCACTATGTATGCAAATTTTAAAAAGGATGTTGATTTACCAAGACCAATAACAACCACCCCAAGCACAAGCAGAAGCTTCATTATCGATCTCAATAAATGAACATTGTCTTAATTTAAGAAATATGATGCAGGGTTTGAAAAGGATGTCAATTTATTTTGGAAATTAATAATAGTCACCCCCAAGCAATGGTGGATGATAAACCATTAATTACCTAAAACAATTAACATTTCCTTGATTTTATAATCAGACAATTCATTATTAAATCTAATTAACTAAATGGTTAATTAAGGTAATTTTTATAACTTAGAGTGTCAAATTATGAAATTCAAAGAACTTAAAGGACTAAACCTAAAAATTTTGTCTCTAATGTTAATCCTAGTTAATTTTAACCGATTATTAAAATCGAATAATCAATAAGAACCCTCAGACATTTAATATGAGGACCAAGTTGAATATTCCCTAAATTAAATGACTAAAATAAAATTTAACCTAAAGTAAAGGATCTAATGTTAAACCTAATTAATTTTTATCATTTTTATTTGAGTAATTGATGAGAACCCTCGGGGATCTAATGTGAGAGCCAGATCGAAATACTCACCTAATTAATAGTATAAGGACTAAAATGTGAATTAACTAAGTTAAAGGATTAAATCTAAAAACTAAGGTTTTTACTAAAAGCTATAATTAAAATCTAAACCCTAAATTTGAGTGTTACTCTAAGCTAAAAGGGATTAACATTAATTAGAATCAAATTATTCATACGTACTAGGGATCAAATTGAAAGTAAATGAGAATAAAATGTTAAATTTGGAAAAAAAAAACAAATAGGGACTAACATACAATGAAAATAAAATGCAACAGCCAAATTAAAATGAAATAGTAAAACATAAATTAATAACTAAGTGTATGTTGTTTGGCTGTAATTGGTTTTCTGGAAAATGAATTTTGGAAAATGAATTACATTTCTGAAAAACGTTTTCCGTAAAATGGATTACATTTTTTGAAAAACATTTTTGGAAAACGTTTTACGATGTTTGGAAGATGTTGTTTAAACATTTTTCCCACTAGTTGATGAGTTTTTTAAAAGTTATTTATTACAAATATTAAATACAAAAATAATATTATTTATCATAAAACTTAATTTATTTTTTAAAATATTAAAATAATTTATTTATTATTAAATATATTTTATAATTTATTAATAAAAATATTAATATTGGTATTTATTGAAATAAAATATTATTAGATTATTATATTAATATTAAATATATATATAATATTAGTCATTATTAATAATTTAATAATATTATTTTTATGAAATTAAAAATAATATAAATTTTATTAATAATTTATTATATATTAAAATAAAAATATAATATCTTATATTATTATATATAATAATTGATTATTTATTATAATATTAAAATATAATATTTATTAGAAATATTAATAAATATATTTTAAATATTTTAATTAATATTTGATTAAAATGATATTAAAATATTTTATTAATATTAAATTCATAAAATAAATTATTTGAGTATTTATTCTTTGAAGTGAAAAATTCGGAAAATGAGTTACGGAAAATCGACCGTAAGTCATTTTTCAAAAAACACAAAGGAAATTCTGTTGATCAGGAAATGTTTTACGTTAACCAATCAATTTTCCTCCAACCAAACATCGGAAAATGAGGAAAACATTTTTCGTAAAACGTTTTACGTTAAGCAAACACGGGATTTCGGGAAAAACCAATTCCGTAATTGGTTTATCCCAAACAAATAGACCCTAAAATGGAAATTTGAAGGAAATCAAAAGAGGTCTAGTGACCAATATGCCAAAACATGGAAAGACTCAAGGGTACGAGAGCAATTTTATCTTTTCTAATCAAAGTAATTACGTAGGAAATAAAAGAGAAAAATTAACATAAAAGGGCCTATAATTCGAAAGAAATTCAAATTTTGACATCATTCAGTGACTAAAATGGAAATTCGAGGTTAAAGATTAGTGGATAAAACCTAATTAACCTATTTTCTTTATTACACGGACTATTCAGGTTAAAACATTTTTTTTGTTTCATTTTAACTTAACCCTAAAAACAACTTTTCTCAATCTTTTTCATTCTCACCCGCGGCCGCCCCTATGAAAAATTACGGCCAACGCTCACCACAGCAAACCAACGCCGATTCACCCTCGATGACTCTCAACTGCAAAGACCTAGGCTTCCCTCGACCCATGTATGAAAACCCCTAACTACTCTTTAACTCACGGCCGAGACCCCTCCTAAGCACCCAACGTTATCTCTCCGACGGCCACAACATAGAGGTGGGCTCCTCTTTATTTACCACCAACTACATCCCTAAACCGACCATTCTTTTACACCCTTTAATATAATCAACCGAGACCTCAAGAGCCCCTCCGATCGGAACCTAAGACGAAACCAGACCCTTCACACTTCACTTCGGCGAAGTTTCAACTCCGGTAACTCCGAAGGACTCCCGAATCTTAAGTAAACAATGCTCACCCACTCTTTTTTCTTGATTTTTTTCTATTTTTTCGAATATCAAATAAAATACCAAAACAAATGCTAGAAATATTGGAGAAAAATCGGAACCTATTGAAATGTGCTCTATTTGTTTTCAAAAAGAACCCGAAGAGTTCAATGTATTGCTTCCTTCCTTTTGAATGGAAAATGAGGGATCCCCTTCTTACAGTTGTATTGGGTTTTATATCAACCCTCTCTTCTATTACAAAACTGAAAAAAGAATTTTTTTACAATATTTTTTACTGATTTTCTATTTTTGCATGCTGATCTGGAACGGTTTTGGGCTCGAGCTGGCGAGGTGATTACTGATGGGATTTCTCTCGTGGCTTTTGAAAGATGTTGGAATGATACAGTTGCTTTAGAGGGGGGCATTGCATGGGTTTCTCACGTGAAGATGATGACTACGCCTGATGTAGGATTACCAATGGGAATAAAAGATTATCAGGGAATAAAATTACTAAGAATGTTGTATTTTGTGTTTGGTTAGTTTAGTAGGAATGTAAAATTACCGTGTTTGGTTAAAAGAATAAAAGATTATTGGAATGTATTTGACCAATTGTCCTTATATATTTGTATAATATTAAAAATTATAAAATATTTATATATTTTATTTAAAAAATTAAATCATATATATTATAAATTTTTTACAAAATTAAAATATAAAAGGTTTAATGAAAGGTAATTTTTTAACCCTTGAATTTCATATAAAATTTTAATTATAGATTTTTTTGTAAATCTAAAATAATTAATAAGGATAAATTTGTAATTTAACCTTCGTAGAATTTTATTATTCAATGACAGAAGGATATTTTGAAAAAAAAATATAAATTTAAGGGCATTTTAGTCCAAAACGCCGGCAATATTATAATACCTAAGGGAAGGGAGGTAATGACATTCCCGGTAATATATCCAAAAATCTATTAGTAATAAAACATTACCGGGAATGATATTCCCGGCCAACCAAACATGGGAATGTGGGATTCCCATCCCATGGGAATTCCACAATCCTTGAACCAAACACCCCCTAAAATTTTATTTTGTTTAACTTAAAAATTGGGTCATTTGGGCTTCATGACTTGGTGTAAATGGCCAAGTGGGTTTGCAAAGGGGTCAATGATATGTAAATTGGTTTAAGGCTATTTGGATTTTGATGTATTGCAGCAGATATGAGAAATGTAAATGTTAGGGATGGGCATGGGTAGGATTGGGTCGGGTTTTTGGTCCACCAGATCCGACCGGAGAACAAAGAGTCATCCACCCGAAACCCGATCCGACCAAAATAAGTTTCCACTCGACCCGAACGTGACCCGATATATAACTTAAAAACTTGACCCGACCCGAAATAAAAAAAAATATTTTCATTCAATAAAAACAGTGACTTAATTAAAAATAATAATATATAGAGGGGTATTATTGCATGTGAAT